TATACAGGCCCACCCGGTCCACGGGATGCAAGAAATTTATCTTCTGCTAACGCTAATCCTCATATCATCTTGCATAAGCTGACAAAGGAAATAGAAGCAGGTCGTATTGCTGGACCATTCTCGTCACCCCCTCTACAGACCCTTATAGTTTCCCCACTTGGCCTGGTTCCCAAGAAAACACAATCCACATTAAACACAGAGGCTGCCTTCCGCCTCATTCATCACCTATCTTATCCATCAGGCCAGTCAGTCAATGATTTCATTCCACAAGAATTCTGCACAGTCCAGTATAACAGCTTCGACCAGGCAGTCGCCATGGTACAAGCCTTAGGTAAAAATGCATACATGGCCAAATTTGACATAAAATCAGCCTTTCGGCTTCTACCTGTATCACCTAGTCAATTCTTTCTCCTTGGCATGCACTTTCAACACCAATTCTACATTGACAAATGCCTCCCTTTTGGTTGCGCAATTTCTTGTGCTCTTTTTGAAAAATTTAGTACCTTTTTGGAATGGGCTATTAGGAAAGACACCAGCAGCAACAATGTTAGCCACTACCTTGACGATTTCATCCTGGCTGACCAAACCAGCCAAAATTGTGAGCATTTACTCACATCATCATTGCAGCTATTCAATCACTTGGGCATTCCAGTGGCCTCGGACAAAACAGTTCACCCTTCAACATGCTTAACATATTTGGGCTTAACCATCGATACAGCCAAAGGCGAAATTAGGCTGCCACGGGATAAGGTAGAACAGCTGACACAACAGCTCAATCACATATTGACAGCACACAACAAAAAAGTGACATTGCGCAACTTACAATCAATTGTTGGTAAACTCAACTTTGTTTGTAAGGCTATACCCATGGGACGGCCATTTATTCGGCGCCTCATCGATGCTCAAAAAAGGGTGTTCTCAGCCGCACCATAGAATCAGAATTACACAGGGTATCCGGGCAGACTTAAAAGTATGGCTTCAATTTCTTGCTAGTCATAATGGCACCACTTTATTCTTGCACCCTCGATGGTCAAACTCGCAGGAGGCACAACTCTTTACAGATGCAGCCAGCAGCCAGGGATTCGGTGCTTACTTTCAGGGCCATTGGACTAATGGTCGCTGGCCAGCACAGTGGCATGAAAAGGGATGGCTGAAGGATTTAACCATGCTTGAACTTTTCCCTATCGTTCTCGCCATCAAGTTGTGGGGCTCTGTTCTCTCCGACAACCGGATAATGTTCTTTTAATCAGGCTGTGGTCCACATAATAAACCGTCAGACAGCAAAGCCTCCACGGGTCATGTCACTGCTTAGATGCTTGGTGCTTTTATGTCTCAGACACAACATTCTGTTCAAAGCGAAATATATTGACACCCACGCTAACATTATAGCAGATTCTCTTTCGAGATTTCAGTGGGCACGATTCAGGTCAGCAGCGCCTCACGCGGACAAGGTACCAACCCCCCACTCCCGACGACATGTGGGACATCTGATGTCTGAGGTTAACCGTCTCATCACTTCATCATTGGCACCAAGTACATGGCGCACTTATCAGGCGGGCAAAACAGCGTTTGAACAATTCCGCGCTGCATTTGGTTTACCGTCTCTTTGGCCTATACCGCTGGACCAATGGCTACAGTTTATTGCTTATTTATCGGTGTCAGGTAGGTCGCCTGCCACAGCCAGGTCATACGTATCGGGGCTGGCAGCACTCCACAAATTGCATAATATGTGCGATGTGTCACACCACTTCCTTGTTCAGAAAGCTCTTTCAGGTATGTCTAGATTGTCTCATCGACAGGACACCCGACAACCAATAACGACTCACCTTCTTGCAGAGATCATTCGTGCCTTGCCTTTGGTCTGCAGCCAGTCCTACGAGGCAGCGCTGTTTGCCGCTGCATATTTGTTGACTTTCTTTGGATTTTTCAGAGTCGGTGAGCTGGTAGCAACCTCAGCAAAGGACAGCACTAACAGAGCTTGCCTGTTTTCAGATATAACTGTCGCAGGTGATTTATCAGCCATACAGGTACATTTGCGGAGCTCCAAAACAGATCAGGATGGTCTGGGAGCATACATCACCATCCAGGCATTGCCGAACTCCCCATTATGTCCTGTCGCAGCAGTGCAGCGTTTCCGCTGCATCAGACCTACTGGTACGGGGTATTTTTTCACTCATTTTGATAGCTCCCCACTAACAAAATTTCAGTTTCAGGCGGTGCTCAAAAAGGCTTTGGCGTCAATCCCGGAGCCCATTAACCCTAGTTTGTACTCGTCACATTCATTTCGCATAGGGGAAGCCACCACAGTAGCATTACAGGGCGTCAGTTCACAACAGATCCAGGAACTGGGGCGTTGGAAGTCGGCGGCTTACCGGACATACATCCGCATACCATCCATCCTATGATCTTTAAATGTGTTAGGGCCAAATGTTATGCAAAATCCTACAACTATCTCCACGAGTTTCAGATGCAGCCTGGTTCATCGGGTCTAGCTACCTGGCCCGGCTGCTTCACCATACAGAGACAGGTCAGCAATTTCCAATCAGCGGGAAGTGGCTGGTAAAAGGGGGGATGAGATGGGCCCAGTTCCGGACCTATATCGATAGGGTTATCGAACAGGAGGCGCAGCCAAAAATCGTGGTCATCCACTTGGGTTCAAATGACCTCTGCGCTACTGCATCTAAGCCGCTTTTTGATGCTATTTATCTCGACTTGCTTTACCTGCATCTAAGGTGTCCAAAAAATACCATCATATGGTCATGTATGCTGCCTAGGCTAGCATGGAGGGGGGCCCAGAACCCGCAGGCCATCGACATTAAGCGGCGCAAACTCAACAGGTGCGTTGCCAATGTCGTGCGGGAACTGGGTGGGAAAGTGGGCAGGGCATGCGAGTTTTCTTTCACGCCCTGAATCAGGCCGTAATGTCGTAATTGTCCATTAATTATTGCCTAAATTCCCCGCAGTGTACGAGTCCCGTCACGCGGTGCAGGCATTAACCAAAAAATGGTCATCTCATTTCAGCTCATCTACGTGACGCAGGCCAGTTTCAGTAGTAGCCTGCATTAGCCTGTGCTTGCCATCATCAGCGATAACAGGTAGCACGACTATAGCGGCACTGGTCCGTACTTCTTCTCACGGACCACCTCAGGTTAGCTGCAATATTGCTGATCGAGGCGCTAACGAAATTATTTCTAATTAAGACCCAGGGTCGGTTCGTAGGCAGTAACCCATGCTTGTTGTTAGAGGCCACTATTAGGTTCAGGTGGTTACCCGAAATCAGGCCTTAATGTCGTAATTGTCCATTGATTATCGCTTAAATTCCCTGCGGTGTACGAGTCCCGTCACGCGGTGCAGGCATTAACCAAAAAATGGTCATTTCTGTGTCACCTCATTTCAGCTCACCTACGTGACGCAGGCCAGTTTCAGTAGTAGCCTGCATTAGCCTGTGCTTGCCATCATCAGCGATAACAGGTAGCACGACTATAGCGGCACTGGTCCGTACTTCTTCTCACGGACCACCTCAGGTTAGCTGCAATATTGCTGAGCGAGGCGCTAACGAAATTATTTCTAATTAAGACCCAGGTTCGGTTTGTATGCAGTAACCCATGCTTGTTGTTCGAGGCTACTATTTTGGTTCGGGTGGTTACACTCACTCATTTGCCCGACACACATCATCGTAGGCCATGCGTGTAGATCGTGGTTGCACTGTCATTCAGAAGGATTGTCTGGTCCCGTGAAGATCCGGGATAGAAAGTGCCTTTAGTAACCCGTGCTTGTCGTAAGTGGCGACTAACGGGATCAGTGGGTCAGGCTCGCTGACTTGATTGAGCCATGCCATTGGGTACACAGACGGATGCGCATGCTTCGGATCACGGGATTGTCTGGCCCAGACTCGATTAATTACAGGCCGCCACCAGATAGCTGGAATATCGCTGAGTGTGGCGTAAGACTAAACCCACTCATTATTTGCTGATAGCCGCCACATAGCTGGAATCTGTCTGTGTGTGGCGTAGAACCTGTTCATTCTGAAATGTCATTAGCAATTGTTGTTAATGCGCATCGTCTCCCTTCCTTAAGTCTCTTCCCAACACCACCCCCTCCTTCCCTCTCGCCCCCTGCACACACACACTATGCATATGCTAAGCACATTATGCAGTGTGGATGGCAGCCACGTGCCTCTGCAGCCCTCACCCATCCGTGGCGCGGGGCTGTTTGGCATGGTACCGGCGGGACTCCGCACCTCTAAATTACAGCTTGCTTGCTTGCTCTACCTGGATACTCGGTACCCGCTGTTACAACGGGAGCCCAAAGCTCCCACCTGCTGCTTCCACGGGGGGAGTGTTGAGTTTTCCCAGCAGTTGGGCTGCCATGACACGGCGGACCAACTTGTGCACACCCGTGCGGGTCTGCAAATGCTTCGCTAGCCCGTGTGGGCTTTCCATGCTTCGGTGCGGTTTCCCGTCCTCGCCATCCTCACTGCGCCCATTTGAATTCCATACTGGCTTTCTGTCTTCATTTATCGTTTTGACGCTCTCAGGGTTCCCTAACAGTCAGCTCATAATGACATTTAGCAATATTTAGCTAAATGGTGTTATGGGCTGCGTTACCGTTTCGTTCCAATTTCTAACCTCTCCATTGTTTTGATTTCGTCCACCATCTCATTCCCGCGCTTGGGATTCACTTCCGCTTACGTCACCAACTTGCCTCACGTGCAGCTAAGCTTAGAGACACGTAATATCCGCCGGCATTACGTCACGCTTTTTAATAGCACTTCACATGTTCAGGCTACCTGCTGCATAAAAAGTCCGTTTCCCACCCTCCCGTCCCCATCCCTTTCACAACGCTTCCACAATGATTTTGTTATCATTAATAATATTATCTTACTCGTTTTCACTTGTTTGATCGCAATATGGATGAAATAGTGCGTATGCGATGGAGAATCTATATCACTATGTTGCTTTCATTTGTTTCTTAATTTGCTTTGCTTGCAGTCGGTGCCCCTCACCCAATCAGGCGGTATCCACCCGGTAAGACTTTGCGCGGTAAGATCTTGTCAGGTCGGTTTCTTTGTAACTTTTCACTGTTGTAAATAAACTGGTGCAGTGTGGCATGGTACCGGCGGGACTCCGCACCTCTACATTACAGCTTGCTTGCTTGCTCTACCTGGATACTCGGTACCCGCTGTTACAACGGGAGCCCAAAGCTCCCACCTGCTGCTTCCACGGGGGGAGTGTTGAGTTTTCCCAGCAGTTGGGCTGCCATGACACGGCGGACCAACTTGTGCACACCCGTGCGGGTCTGCAAATGCTTCGCTAGCCCGTGTGGGCTTTCCATGCTTCGGTGCGGTTTCCCGTCCTCGCCATCCTCACTGCGCCCATTTGAATTCCATACTGGCTTTCTGTCTTCATTTATCGTTTTGACGCTCTCAGGGTTCCCTAACAGTCAGCTCATAATTGTTATGTCATAAAAAAAACTATACCTTTATAGTCTGATAATGTATTTTTTTTTTCGATTGTTCTAAAGCTTTAAAGAAAGTTACTTTATGTTGTAATGTCAACCATTTACATGCAAGACTAGTAATAAAAGAACACAAAGCAGATGTGGCCTCAGTTCTATGCCCGGGGATGTTTAGGCTAGGATAGCTTTTTGGATCAGGGCCCAGATCTGAAAAGCTTGTACTCCTCTTCTGCAAGAAGAATGCTATCTAACACCAAATGATACCTTAGTGTAGAACAGTGTCACTCATCACTTGATACCCAGTTTCTTCTTGATGAATCTGGCTACAACCAGTTGGGGTCGGTTTTGCCATTCCTCCATAATACTGTGGGTGTGGTTATTTGGTCTCCATGAAGGCGGTCCAAAAGGGTCACACATATCACAGCGGCTGGAATGTCACATCAAATAGATGAATGAGTGATCTGTCAGTCAGGCTTTAAGCAGTATACCAGTTATATCACAACTTATTGTTAATAGTGTTTGGGCCAGACTCCGGTACTCCGTATTATGATCCAATACCCGTGCTTCAAACAGTTCAAAATTAACATTGAGGTGTTTGGTAAGATAAATATGTTGTTCACTGGTCCCTTGGGGCCCATGGGTTGATGTACCCTCGATGTTTGTATGTTTGTCAATCCATGTCCCCCTTGTGACCAGTGAACAACTCATGTTGGTGGAGGAAAACCTGAAGCGATGCAGGGCTCGGACGTTTACCACTTTAGTGAAACCCACAAGTATGGATATGGTGCTCACAAACAGAGAATCATAATTGGTGCTAGTGGTGTTCCGATTAATTTAAATAATCGAAGATTGGTCGAAGTGACCAAACGACCAAGCAATCGATCACATTTTCTCATAATCGAACATAAATGATTTTGGAACTACTGTTTTAGTCTTTGAAATACTTGACAATGGAACATATCGTTGAAGTTGTCAGGGCCTGAAAACGTGTTTAATTCTTAGAAAACTCACTTCACTAACTGAAAAACCATGACTGAATATTTCTTGAAGACTCCAGGAAGTTTATGTTCATGATATATTAGTCATCGCTTTAAAGTAGCAAGTTGCATCATGTTATACATATCTGCAATACCAACCTGGATAGGAAAATCTGAAAAATGACGCTAACCAATTTTTGTTGATGATTGTTCGTTGGTAATGAAGCAATCATCAATTGTGAGATTTCAACCAATTCCAAACACTAATTGGTGCAACCAGAATTCAAACCATAATCATAGGTTCCTGGTGAGGTTAAGGGAAGCAACTCTTCACAATAAACTGGGGAACTTTAGGGTTCAAGGCCACCTGTGCCTCCAACTTAACATGGAACACATGAACTACTTTCTTATATATATTGATATTTAACGTTTATTGTATATAATAAACTCAAAAATTAATATAATGAATAATTTTGTGTATGGTTACAATAAACAATTTTCACAACAGCATGGGTACTAAATATGATGAATATGGTAATTACAAAGCCCATGGGATCATCTTCAACCAAAGAAGATACAAGATTCTAATGGTTGTACAAATAACAAAGCATTGAAAGGGCAATCATCTGCTGCACCCCAAATCACCATATTTTCTTCACCTCACATTGTGGGGATTAAAAAGGAAACTTGGTCACTTATACCAAACTGTTGTTAAGTTCAGTAAGGAATAAATACACTATATCCAGTACTTTTTATATCCTCAATCATCAAATTGCACATGTTGATCTGTTCAGTATATTTAATCTAGAAATACATGTATTTAACAGTTTTGGAAATGCGACCATGGCAATGAGAACTTCCCCCATATTCAAGTCCAAACTATCAACATGAAAACATTAAATAAAATTGAAGCTTAATGATGAAATCCGCGTCTACATTCATATTTGGGACTAGTGAATTATTCAACAAGATAACACAGACACAGCTCACCTCTGATGTTTGCCCGATGGCAGTAGGCAGCAAAGCAGAGTGACTCCATCTCTATATTGCGGATACCCTCGTCATGGATACGGCGAAGGAACGCCATCTTGTCTGCCTCAGTGTAGTCACAGAAAGCTCCATCAAGACGAGCTTGACCTGCGAAAGAAGGCGCTAGAGTTGCTCAACACATGAAAACTTACATTGTGGATATCCCAGCATACTGAAACAATGACGTCTGTATACAATTGTAGTGTTTCGAACTAGGGTGAGTGAGTTTTACGCCACTTTTAGCAATATTCCAGCAATATCACGACAGGGGACACAAAAAATGAGCTTCACACATTGTACCCATGTAGGGAATCAAGCCCAGGTCTTTGGCGTGACAAGCAGACACTGTAACCACTAGGCTACCCCACCGCCCCTTGGGACTATGGAGCATCAAGGGGTGATAAAGGTTATTGAACACAGTTATAGTTCATGGTTAACTCATGTTAATTCACAGGTTTGATATGCTATATTCCTCAGTCACCTCGATCACATTAGGCAGATAGTCATTGTACCCCGACTGACTGGACCACTGCCACAAAATCAACCAATTGTCAGGTCCATACTTGACTGTAAGTGATGGTCAAACAACTGTTGGAATAAGGGGTTGAAACATCACCTTTGACTCTGTATCACTCATGCTGCCAATCACTGGATTGTCTGGTCCAGATCCAATTCCGTACATACAGCCATTGTACAGCCGAAAAAGATTGCTGACTAACAACAACCAAACAAACAACCTGAGTACATATCATCAGCCAGTCTTACCTTCGTAGAAGTCATGGGTACACATGGTTTTTCCAATGATGGTCTGGAAATGGTCGTCCGGCGAGGTCATGGCCAGGAGTTCTTGACACAGTTTCTTGTCCAGGAAGGAAGGAAGCCTTTCGATCTTGCCCATGATTGCCTGCAAGGTCAAGGTCAGATTTTGTCGGTGTTGATGCCTTTCCGTACTTGTCAACCACGAGTTGGTCAAACACCATTGTGTTGAAATCGAAGGGACTATGTATATACTTTGACTTGTCTGGTGTTAGACTTAAGATGCAACTGCAAAGGATGACTAAACAGGCGTAGAGAAAATGTATAACATTCAGAAATTCTCTAAATAATAACTTTACCAAAATCTGTTACAGTATAGGTAATATTTTGGTCCGGAAATTGAATAGTTGTTTGTGTGTTTATTGTTAAGTGTGGCAAAAATTCCACCTATAAAATGGCAGCCATAAACACCATTAAAATCTGGTACAACTGTTTGTAATCTTTGACATGTTGGACAGAGTTATTTCCCCTTCTCGGAAGGCATAAATCTTGTGACCATGGGTAATCAGTATGGTACTGGGTATTGTAACACACAGCAGTAAGTATATTCTAACTTTTAAGTTGTTTTGAGTAGTACCATATTTCCTTTGATAAGCGGCGGGTCTCTAATAAGCGTGAGGCCTCTAATTAGCGCCGAGGTCTGACCGTAAAGTAGCTCACTAACAATTACGGTAATTAAATCCAGTAAGGGCAAAAGCGCCAGGCCTCTAATAAGCGCCATGTCGGGAACTCTGTTGAAAAAATAAGCGGCCTGGCGCTTATTAGAGGAAATACGGTATATCAGACCCTCACTCTTGAGATACTCACCAACTCCATGTATGGCCTGAGGATACCATCAACAGCCTCGCTAGTGATCACGACAGACCCAGGATCCAGCCCTGTGAACAATACACAACCAGCACTGGTATAAGCACACTGATGTTTTTAGTGCCGTAATTAACAATATTCAGCTATACCACATCCAACTGCAAAATACCAAGGCACACAAAACAGTAACTCGAAAACACAGGTCCTGACCACATGATACTGATTAAATCTGCTCTTACAACTAGCCTGAGGAAATGGGGTCCTAGAACCATACTAGGAATCTGACGAGTGAAGATTCAGTCAGAAGTGTTCCCCTGCAACCAATATGATCAGAGCTCCACTTGAGATTTACCTCATGTGGGTACTGTACCAACTGTATTTTTTTGGAGTGGGTATTATGAATGTTGAGTGGGTATTTCATTTTCCGTTACCCACTGCTTTCAAATATGTGCATATTTCAGTCATTTTACTCACCTAAGTATTATGTCATTTAGTAAGTTTACTAAGCAGGTATGTTCTGCCTTATGTCATATCCAATCAAAACCAACTTAAATATAATGGAAATGATTTCAGAAAAATCACTGATCCTATACTGAGAGTACAACACTTGTCCTATACTAACAGTACAACTTGATAGCAATCGATGTCTTTTTCATTACGCAAGCGATTTTTATTAATATATTCCCTACGCATTTGTTTTAAACTTTTTGCGTATCTAACATTTTAAATGCGTAACTGGTACGCAACAATTATTTTTCAGTGCATAATTGGAAATTTTCTATGCGTACTTTACCCGGATACACAGCTTATCTGGGCCTCTGATATGATGTTGTAAGATGCGCATAACAGCATCTGGTATTCAGGCTCACTGGTTAATGTCTTAAATCCCAATTGCTTAGATCAGTGATTATAATGTAAATTGCTAGATTGTGTGGTCAAGGGTCACCAATTTACACTGCTCTCACATAGCAGGAATATTTCTCAGAGCTGCGTAAAACAACAAGCAAGACTAAGAATCCTCACAAGTGCATCTTTATAGTCATTTCATGAGTATGTACAATTACATAGCGATCACAAAGACACTAAGACCGTAATTGTCTGATTGGCACTAAGTTGGAAAGTCAATAACAAACATTACAACGTAATGGATAATAACTTCTTGTTTATTGCATGGGGCAATGTTACACCATTATTATTAGCTAGAAGTTGTTACACCTATTGCTGTAATCTTTGTTACTAAGACAGTAATGCGTACTACGGCAGTCTGTGCATTATAGTCTGTTTATTGCATGGGTCAATGTTACACCATTATTATTAGCTAGAAGTTGTTACACCTATTGCTGTAATCTTTGTTACTAAGACAGTAATGGGTACTACGGCAGTCTGTGCATACCCAGATACCTGGGTAGACCCTACTATCATCTAAGAGGAAATACTAAGGTTATGACACTGACCGAGCCCCCCACTGGTGCCGATCCGGAACAGCGTAACCCCCGAACACTCCGCGTGTTGCAGCAGCTTCAGTATCTCATGCAGGATGATGGACAGGGATGGGATGCCGATACCATGCTGCCATGCAAACAAAGGGCAAACATTTCATAAATAACTCTATGAAAGACGTTATTGTTGCTGAGGCAGATATAAACATACATTTCAACTTAGTTTAAATTCAGCAAAACATTGTTCTTACAAATGCTGCTCTATTTATTAACATATTTTCAACATATTTTGTTTGCATTATCATTCAGTCCTTCAAATGAATCCAGTCAAGGTATGGTTGAAGTACTGTTGATGTGACTAAAAATCTTAACTCACTCACTCAAATGAACCCATTCAATATATTATCTTTGGTCATCCTGACCTCTACAATATGTCTCGTGTTTGACAGGTACAGACTGGCATATACTCACACTAACAGGTACAGACTGGCATATACTCTCACTAACAGGTACAGACTGGCATATACTCACACTAACAGGTACAGACTGGCATATACTCTCACTAACAGGTACAGACTGGCATATACTCACACTAACAGGTACAGACTGGCATATACTCACACTAACAGGTACAGACTGGCATATACTCTCACTAACAGGTACAGACTGGCATATACTCACACTAACAGGTACAGACTGGCATATACTCACACTAACAGGTACAAACTGGCATATACTCTCACTAACAGGTACAGACTGGCATATACTCACACTAACAGGTACAGACTGGCATATACTCTCACTAACAGGTACAGACTGGCATATACTCACACTAACAGGTACAGACTGGCATATACTCACACTAACAGGTACAGACTGGCATATACTCACACTAACAGGTACAGACTGGCATATACTCACACTAACAGGTACAGACTGGCATATACTCACACTAACGGGTACAGACTGGCATGTACTCTAACACTGGCATATACAGGTACATACTGGCATGTACTCACTAACTAGGTACAGACTGGCATATACTCACACTAACGGGTACAGACTGGCATATACTCCTCACTAACAGGTACATACTGGCATGTACTTGCTCACTGTACTCACACTAACAGGTACATACTGGCATACTCTCACACTACTCACACTAACAGGTACAGACTGGCATATACTCACACTAACAGGTACAGACTGGCATGTACTCACTACTAACAACAGGTACAGACTGGCATATACTCACACTAACAGGTACATACTGGCATGTACTCACAACAGGTAACAGGTACATACTCACACTAACAGGTACATACTGGCATATACTCTCACTAACAGGTACAGACTGGCATATACTCACACTAACGGGTACAGACTGGCATGTACTCTCACTAACAGGTACAGACTGGCATATACTCTCACTAACGGGTACAGACTGGCATATACTCACTAACAGGTACAGACTGGCATATACTCTAACTAACAGGTACAGACTGGCATATACTCTCACTAACAGGTACAGACTGGCATATACTCACACTAACAGGTACAGACTGGCATTTCTCACACTAACGGACAACACTGGCCCTGTCTTGTATACAACACAGACTGGCATATACTCACACTAACGGACAACACTGGCCCTGTCTTGTAAACGACATATCTGTCAGATTCCTTGGCGATGTTGTACAGTGTCATCCCTGCAGGTACTTTGATATGAAGCTGCTCCTTCATAAACTCTGCAAACTTCTGCATTCTGGTTGAGGAGCCTCCAAAACACACAAACTACAACAAAAGCAAGAGATGGAGCATCCTTGATAATCTCCAGGGTATACGTTCCCATAAATCTCCACTATACCCTGGATGCATCTACGTCTCGAACCGATGATTTTATTACCTCCCTTTGCTGGCTCCGCATTCTCACAGTATCCCATCAGATAAGCATCTACAACTGAGCTTGTCAGTGTCAACAAAGATAGCGGTCGCAGCCGCGAAAGTTTGTTTGCAGTGCGAATCAGAGTTTGGGGGAAAACATACAGTCAAACTGACAGGTCTGAAGCCTTAAAAATATACCGGTATGCAAGAACTCCTTCTACCTCTTTCAGAGTACCTCTGCAACAATATATTATTGTGTTACCAAGTTTAATCAGTTTGATATTTAATAGGCTGGGGGTGACAACCATTATTGGCATGAGTATACTTCGAAACATTATGATGAAGGAGTAAGAATATACTCTGAAACAATGCGCTCCTCATAAAACATGACTTGACACATGCTCGATAATCTCCAGGGTATACGTTCCGATAAATCTCCACTATACCCTGGATGCATGTACGTCTCGAGCCGATGATTTTATTACCTCCCTTTGCTGCTTCCGCATTCTCACAGTACCCAATCAGATAAGCCGCCGTTACAACCGAGCTTGCCAGTGTCAACAAAGATAGCGGTCGCAGCCGCGAAAGTTTGTTCGCAGTGCGACTCAGGTTTGGGGGGAAAACATACAGTCAAACTGACAGGTCTGAAACCTTAAAAAAAATGTATGCAAGAACTCCTTCTACCTCTTTCAGAGTACCTCTGCCAATATAGTATTGTGTTGCCAACTTTAATCCGTTAGATAATTTAAAAAGTGAAAGTTGTGATTGGTACGCTCAAGTTCCCAGCGTAGATACCTGATTCGATAAAAAGCCAACCAAGGAGGTAATAAAATTATCGAGCCGAGCCGTAGATGCATCCAGGGTATAGTGGAGATTTATCGGAACGTATACCCTGGAGATTATTGAGGATGGACTTGACATAACTTTTTTTTTCTTGGTTCCCAAGATTGTAATATCACAGATATACAAGATATACAAAGCTGTGTTACATACAGCTTAAGGTAATACAGCTACATGATGTACAGGTTGGACATCAATATATTAATATATTCATAATCATGTAAACTTGACATAACTTGATGTGAGTAAAGTTTTCCCCCTTTAACTGCATGTTCAGTCTGACAACTGAAAAACCTGTGAACTGACCTTGACATCATTGAACATCTCCTTAAGGTCATGCGTCTTGTCGCCGAGGGCGATGTGGTAGAGATTATCTTCCTCCATGGTGGCAATATGAGGATTCTGGATCTTTATGGGCCCATCCCTGACGAAACAAACACATCCAGCTGATGAAGGTAGCGTGAGTGAATTGTTTTTACAGCAACATTTTTTAGCAATATCACAGTGGTGGACACCAGAAATGGGCTTCACACACTGTACACATGTGGGGAATCGAAACTGGGTCTTTGGCTTTACAAGTGAATGCTTTAACCACTAGGCTACCCCACCACCCCAGCCCAGCTGGATAATTTAATACCATAATGGTTAAGTGGTGAAATGCTTTAACTGCCAACTGCCCAATCACACTTGTACAGGTGTGAGATTGTACTGGCAGCCATATTGTCACATCTGTGCCTGCACAAAATGCAACAGCTTTACCTTGGACAATGGGTCAGTGTGTAAAGGATTTTTTTATTCTCAGCTCCCTGGGAAGTACATAACCCAAGCTGCCTGCAAGCCACTAGAAGGTTTTAGGGACCCATTACCACCTCATCCTGCAGGAGAGCGGAAGGTCGCGGGTTCGATCCCCGACCGCGTCATACCAAAAGACGTTAAAATATGGTACTTGTTGGTCCCTGTCTGGCGCTCGGCATTAATGGGTACAACAAGGACTGGTCGGCTCGGAGTCAGTAATAAGTCTGAGTGGGTATCCATGCTTCACTGCGGCATGGTATCTCAGTGGGCTAGCACTATAAAACCAGCTTAAGTCTGGGCTAGTACAAGCAGCCGCACATACACACACACACGCATGCACGTCGTCATATGAGCAAAATATTCTCAAGCACGACGTAAAATCCAATTTCACCTCACCTCACCTCATCCTGCAGAGTACCCATTTACTGCTGAGTGAACATAGGAGCATAAGTGCAAAGTCTCTTCATTACAGAGACATCACATATACAACATAACGTGCTACATATGCTGCACAGGGCGGTGGGGTAGCTTAGTGGTTAAAGCGTTCGCTCGTCACGCCAAAGACCCAGGCTCAATTCCAGAAATTGGTATAATGTGTGAAGCCCATTTCTGGTGTCTTCCGCCCAGTGTGTGAAATAGTGTCCACATTTTGCTAGCTAGTCAGGCTAGCTATGCCTGAAAGTTACTAGCCCACAAAATAATTCACTAGCCTGAAATTAGAATGTAGAAACTAAGCAAAAGATTACATAAATAGATGAGAATAATTATTGTCAGCATGAGACGGGTTTCATCATTAAGCAGCTATGAAGGAAAACCATGTTCTATGCATAGTCAACTTCTTTACTGCAATGAGTGTGGCGTTTCAGCGTAGGTACTAACGCCGTTATCAAGCACTTGCTTCATAATGGTGTTAGTACCTATGCCAAAATGTTGCACTCATTGCAATTAAGGAGTTGACTGTCCATAGAACTTGGTTTTCCTTCATCTTCACAACTTCTAAAATGCCTCTCAAAGAACTTAAGCAGCTAACATGATGAACATTTTTATCATAACCTTATCATGATTTAAAAGTGTATTATAACTTAACAAGTCAGAGAGAGTGATATATTTACAAAATGATCCCATAAATATTCAGAAATATTTCTGCCCGTAACCCCCGTATATTTTTAATCATTATATGCCTAAGAATATACGTCTATGTTTTTTTATAAACAGCCTGTACCTTAACCTAAACCCTAAACCTAACCCTAACCCTAAAATCTAACCCTAAACCCTCGAAATAATCCTAATAAATAGAATACATTTCAAGCGAGGGTTACGGGCGGAACTCTTACCAAATATTCAATAGCCAGTTGTGACTGTGGAGATTTACTGGCCCGAGATTTACTGGCTAGCGAGCCAGTGGCTATTTAACACACTGCTTGATGCATGCATAATATCCCAATTCTTCTATTTACATAGATTCATGCTCATGATGTCAATCACTGGATTGTCTGGTCCAGACTTGATTATTTACAGACCGTTATCATACAGCAATAATACCGCAATGTTAAACAACAAAACGCACTGTGGGTGGTAGTCCTCTTCTCTTGCCGAGTCGAGGTTACCAGAGATATCCATCCTTGGTTGTACCTGTAACACATGCCATGAATATAATGAATATAACAGAATTAATGGGCAATAAATATCAAAAACACCACAGCATATTCATGACTGTTCATCTATACAAGAATTTTATGCATGGCTTCAAAATGTCTGAGCATGTACAAGTCTCACAACTGTGATCAATTTCCATAATAGTAATTAATTTTTCTATTTTTGACGTTAATTTACCTGAAATATATGTGCTCAGAAATAGCAAACTAGTAAACAGCCTGTTTTGCATTGGTGGTTGTGTAAAATTACTAGATTTGAAGATGAAAACCTATCTGCCTAGATTGTTACTACCCTTGACTAACTGACAAGTGGCTGGTAAAAAAAGGCAACAGTTAGGCCAAATAAAAAAAAAATTGAGGTTCCAATTACACCTCTTTAAATTTAGGGTAGGTGGGTAGGAATTTTATTATTTTTTTTACATATTTTTTTTTAGACGTAAAGTTCAAACTAATAACACATTTATCAATGTGTAATTGTTCCTTCAATCAAGCTTGCAGCCATCATGTAAATTTTCTCTATCAGAATGACTCAATCTATCAGACCCGCGAAGATCCGGGTTAGAATTGATCTTCAGCAACCCATGCTTGTCGTAAGAGGCGACTTACGGGATCGGGTAGTCAGGCTCGCTGGCACGGTTGACACATGTCATCGGTTCCCAATTGCGCAGATTGATGCCCATGCTGTTGATCACTGGATTGTCTGGTCCAGACTCGATTGTTTACAGACCGCCGCCATATAGCTGGAATATTGCTGAGTCAGGTGCAATACTAAACTCACTCACTCACTCCAATCTATCAGTACAAAGTGTTTAGAATGTATGTAAGTGTGACAACACGATTTGATTTGTAGTTTTTAATGTAAGGATTGAATCTGAAGGTTTCTGAAGGTGTTGGGGTAGCCTAATGGTTAAAGCGTCCACTCATCACGCCAAAGATCAGGGTTCGATTCCCCACATGGGTACGATGTGTGAAGCCCATTTCTGGTGTCCCCTGCTGTGATGTTCCAGAATATTGCTAAAAGTGGCGTAACACCATACTCACTCACTCACTTCAACAAAAGCCATGATTCATCAGTATGTATATATTCAAGCATGATAGTATCTGAAGTATTTACTTAGGCCAAAAAAAATAGATGTTGTGGTTCCGATTTCCTACATTTCAGAACTAGGGTAGGTAGGTAGGGTTGTTGTTTTTTTGCAAAATATTTTTACATTACTCATGTGTCAGAAAATAAATTTAATTTATTATGTGGTAAGTAAAATTGTTAGGCTCGGCGGGAATATTTAGGGTCGGTCGGGAAATCGGAACCACAAGCTTTTTTTTTTAGGCCTTATTGGGGTTGCCATGATCCTGTATACAAGGTGTGGGTTTATAGACACTCTGGTGTCACCCACAAGCCATGTATAAATCATTCACATATGTGTGATGTTAACTGCATTATCTGTGAGTAATATACGCAAGATTAACATATCACACCTATGACCAGTTCGAGTGATCACTGGGGCGGAGGGTAGCCCAGTGGTAATCAAGCCGAAGACCCAGGTTCCATTCCCCAAATGAGTACAATATATGAAGCCCATTTCTGGTGTCCCCTGTCGCGATATTGCTGGAATATTGCTAAAAGCTGCGTAAAACTAAACTACTGACTCACTCACTCTCATTGAGTGATCCTTTATTTTATGTAGCATTATTTATTATTTATTTTATGTAGCATTATTTATTATTTATTTTATGTAGCATTATTTATTATTTATTTTATGTTGCATTTAACACATATTGTTACTAAGTATGTGCATTGAATGCCAGTAGTATTCTTTTTATTATATAGAGTGTATGATATAATATAATTCAGCATGTATAAATTGTATTAATGTGGTTTACTTTATAAACTATGGCAGAATTAATATGTAGTTGTGGTGTTTTTTAATTTTGCAGTCCATCATATGTGTATTATATTTTATTACAGGGTGATTTATTGATTGATGAACTACCATCTGCTATGGAATAAATGTCACGTCATGGTACACAAGCAGCTTGTCATGCCTCGTAATGACCCATCGATGCATCAGTAAAGAATGTAGTTAAACTGACATATTATTCCTTGGTCATCATATCCACTGGCAGATGTGTCACTGATTGTTTCCGGAACAACAATTTACCTATTGATATTCAGTTTGTTCTGCCCGTGACTTTAACCACAAGGTTACCCAACTGCCCCACCCTAAATTTGAGAGAAGTAGTACAAGCCTTCAAAACAGACATACCTGTGTAAGTAACATGAAGCAAGAGTGAGTTCAGTTTAGTTTTATGCCGCACTCAGCAATATTCCCGCTATATGGCAGCAATCCGTAAATAATCAAGTCTGGTGCAGACAATCCAATGATCAACAGCCTTGATCTACGTAATTGGGATACAATGACGTGTGTGAAGAAAAACAGTAAGCTTGACCACCCAATCCCGTTAGTCGCCTCTTACGACAGGCATGGGTTACTGAAGATCAATTCTAACCGAGATCTTCACGGATCAGCAGGGGTTAGAAATAACCCATTGCCTGACGTCCCAGTCCAGTGGGTTATTTTTCTGTCGGGCAAATAAATGTGTATATCACGCTGTACCGGTGTCCAGTCGACTTTCCAATGTTAATTATGTTATTTATTTAAAAAATGAACAAGAAAATCGGCCCGTGTAGCGGAAAAAACTATCAGGGCAAGTGATTTTACATGTGCCACTGTACCGGAGTACACTATCAATTTTAAAGTTATTTCGGTGACCCCTGGTCAGAAGCCCTGGATATATACCTGAATTAAGAAGAGACTTAATAATCTCAGGTGGAATAACAGCTGTATGTAAACAAGTATGGTTCAGGTGACATAGTAGTTGACGTCAATGACCATGAGATTGTGTTGTGACTATATATTATCAGCTAAGTCACCAGATGACACAATCTCACAAACAACGCCGAATAGTGAAGATCTGGGTTAGAACTTGACGCAGCCTTTGCTGATCCTAAGAGGCGACTATCAACTTGAGTGGTCAGGCTTGCGGACTTGGTTGATGCATGTCATTGTATCCAAAATGCGTAGATCAATGCTCATGTTAATCATTAGATTGTCTGGTCCAGACTCGATTCTATACAGACTGTTGCTGAGTGCAGCATTAAACAAACAAACAAACAAACAAACAAACAAACAATGCATACTGAAAACCTTTTCCACTATTAGACAAAACAATGTTATTACACATTTGGGTTAAATAAACAATGTAATTACCGTTGCATTCGTTTGGCTTCAAAGTAACTATGCTATTTATAGGCTTCAAAATAATCGAAATTATTATTGATTTGAATATTTAAAAAAATTGAAATAAAATTTAAGCTTGACTAAAAAGAAAAATATTTTCAAAAAGTCCTAATATTCCAGCAATATCACAGCGAGGGACACCAGAAATGGGCTTCACACATTGTACCCACGTGGATAATGAAAACCGGGTCTTCGTCGTGACGAGCAAATACTTTAACCACTAGGCTACCCCACCGCCCGTCTTGTAATAGCAGTTGTGTTAAGTACTGTATTTAAATTGAGCATAGCGCACACTTTTTCTAAAACATCTGTGTAGGGAGGGTGCACATTATATATGCCAAAATGAAATTTGATGTTTTTATACCATTTCACAGTCATTACCAAAAAGCATGGACCACCAGAAATACCATGTCAACAAATCCAAAGTTAAATACACAATTATAAAAACTGTTCCTTGTATATCTGGACATTTTACAGGCACGAATATGGGTATATACACTACACTCAAGAATATACGGTATTATCTGAGCGCTATCTGTGGCGCTCTATCAACCTGGTAGCTTACATTGATAACCTAATTCAACGACAACACTCAATGAAAAACAAGAATATCAGATCAGTGATTAGACACAGTAGGAATGTTTGCCATACTATTTTGCGATAGAAAGATTTTTTTCTAGTGGGAAACATGTTCTGATGTGCCCTTTGGTATTTAGATGTGCCAGCATCTATTGTTGAACTTTTATATGACATTGTAAACCAAAAGTCACTGTGTTCTTTAATCTGATTGGTTGAAAAACGTGATCAAATGGTATTTGATTCCCGGAGATTCTCTGCGTATTAATACATACAAACATAGCTCACACCATTGTATTGTTATGTCGTCAGCTGTGATGACGTCATTAAAATCATATTGTGACGTAAAGTCCGAATGACGTCACAAATGAGCAGTTCCAGATGCTACCATGGGAGACAGCCGAAACGGCCGGCTGATGACATTTCACTGCTGTACCCGTACTCGATGTCAATGAGAGCAGACACAAAAAACGTGTGTGGACCTTTCGGTTTACTTTTGTGTTTACAATGTCGATAAACATCATGTGTTGGCGAATTTCTGGGTGTTATTGAGTATTTGAAGCACAGGAATATTTCATTTGAAACCTCCGGCTGACGCCGTCGGTTCCAAATGAATTCCCGTGCTTCAAATACTCAATAACACCCGGAAATTCGCCAACACATGATGTTTATCTCCTAATTTTAATATGGCTAGATGATCTGCAATTGGCATTCTTATGAAGTAATTGTTTTGCACTCATCAAAATGACAGGTATATGATGATGGTTTGTAAATATTCGCGTCTGGTCCAGACAATCCAGTGATGGACATCATGAGCATCAATCTACGCAACTTGGATATGATGACAATCATCAACCAAGTCAGCAAGTCTGACCACCCAATCCCATTAGGCCTGAATTGCTTAAGACCAAATCTTATTTACTAATAATGAGACAATTTCAGTTAAACAATTTCTTCATGGCTACACAACACCAAATCAGAGTCCGTACTTTAACATGCACTTAATAGGAGCCCTCAGTGCAGACGGAATTATCTGACCGTGCGATTGGTTCATTTTTGATTTTTGTGTTTTTCATATCCATTCAGCATTTAAAACTGACTGTATTTTTTTAATATTTAATGCTGTCGTTTATAACTTATGCTGGATGTGACCACAGGTATTTTTAAGCGGTTGACATTTTGTGTGGAACTGGAATTGGTCTCTTTAGCTTCCTATACTCTGAAAAGGAGCTGGTGAGGCAGTCATTGTTGTATTTCTATTGCTGCGTTAAGACCAGACTACACACACATTTACATGTAATTACTGAATGGCTTAGTTAATTTAAAAAATATATATATAATTTTACTATAGAGGTCAAAGGCATAATATTTGATTTTGTATAAAATCAAACTCACTTTGTCTAATTTCATATGATCAACAATATTTTCAAGAATAATATCTACATGATAAGGAATTTTTAATTATTGTGTAACTGCCCACACATTTTCAGGAATAAATCTAATTATAGGCCTGTATATCTAGGAAATGAAATCTACCTCGCCCTCTATGAAAATAAGGTCCGTGACTTGGTTGTATCCCATTTGCGTAGATTGATGCTCATGCTGTTGATCACTGGATTGTCTGGTCCAGACTCGATTATGTACAGACCGCTGCCATATAGCTGGAATATTGCTGAGTGCTGTGTAAAACTAAACTCACTCACTGCTCTAAGCCAGTTCCTCATCATTCTATTTATCAGCTAGTCTGTGTTCTTTGAATAGCTAAATATTTATAAGCACCAGATGCAAGTTGGTACAAGTATGCATTCTGCAGTTTTGGGTTGTATCAGTGCAGGTTCTAAATGCTTAAATCAAACCCTGCTGGGTCACGGGTTGTCATGGATATTGTTCTTTTCAAACTGACGGATTCTGTCTGGAAACTTGCGCAACATCTGTCTACTCTACATTTCTAAAAATGAAATATCGTCAGTTAAAAACACATGAGCATACACCATTACCATGACATATTCACAATGTTATTGCAGTTTATCCAGACTCAGGAATTCAATGGCCATGTTGAATATGCATTTGGTTCAAGTCAAACTGACATTTTTCAATATTATAGAGAAATAATTTAATTAACAGTTAACTAGAGTCAACCAAGTTGATATGGATAGAAGAAACACTTTAAACTATGACTGAGAGGGGCTTCGATTGGTCATTGACAAAATTCAAATTATTACAAAAAAATTTAGATATAAATTTGTGAGTAGAATTTAATTATGGAGAAAAGATGTAAGAAAAGAACATGGTCAATTTAAGAGCTAAACAAACCGACAGTGTTTTGAAATTTGAAGCTGCCAACCAAACATTAGACTAATGCTTAGTCTCTGAATATATATAATTTTGATAGTAACAAACAAGCCCATTTAAATTGAAAAGGAGCCCTAGGGAGACCAGAGATTCAGAACCTGAACCTGAGGAAATGTAGACTTGCTTTATTTAGGGCTTTAGCACTGCAGAGAGGGCTTGGCAGTAGGGAAAATAATGTGGTTCATGGACTGTGAGACAGACTAACCAAACATTAGATCCCTCTGTATTAACTTGGAACCAAGTGATTCAGCATGAATCCAATTTTAAAAAAATAGATGTTTTAGATTTGTTTGGAAAAGAAAACATAAGGTAAACAGATGTATTGTTTGAAAGTATTTAAATATGAACTATTCAACTCATTTGGGAGATAGTCATTGGCTGATCAACACACACACACACACACACACACACACACACAGAGAGAGAGAGAGAGAGAGAGAGAGAGAGAGAGAGAGAGAGAGAGAGAGAGAGAGAGAGAGAGAGAGAGAGAGAGAGAGAGAGAGAGAGAGAGAGAGAGAGAGAGAGAGAGAGAGAGAGGCCGTGATACAAATCTGGTTACTGCAAGTGTATCTCTATATTGGCTCCATCCCACAATATAACATGCCTCCTATCATTCACATGTTAAATATATATCTATATGTGTGTGTGCGTTCATGCATGAGTGGGTGTAGATATATAGACAGACATGGTTATGAGTGTGTATGTGTATATACTTGTTTGGAAAAATATGAATGCACCAAAGACTCATATATCTTCATGATATTTGTGTAACATAGGCCCCACTGCTACTACATGTATAGTAGGGGGTGTGGATACTAAACCAGGGCCTGTAGTTTATCGATTTTCTGACCACAGTGGGGGCCTATGGTGTAAATGTAGTAAATATGACATGACTGAGAGACATCTAGCCATCTCTTAGCCGAGAGCCGCGATGCGGTCCTATACGGTCAAGATGACCCTGTCTTGACTGTATAGGACCGCATCGCGGCTCTCGGCTAGCCATCTCTATACTCTATTATTTAATAATATTATCTGCACCCCATCATATAACATGCATGAATAACAAACTGCGTAATACTTAATAAAAGTCTCTTCCGGTATACAATCAATAAAACGTCTAAATTTGGAAGCGGCGGTACGCCTCTGAGGCAACCTATAAATAACAGAATTTCAAATGTTAAAACACGAATCATTAAAAATCTTTGAAAGGAACACTTACCTTCAAAATTATCTTGATCAAACTCAAATACTGTAATACTACGACGCTGTGTCTGTGGTCAACAGTCTGAAACGTGCGCCATTGAATGTGTAATTTCTAATTTGCGTTCTCATGGATCCGGTTGAGAATCCGGTTTACTAGACTAACAACTAGTCTCTGGAATGAACATATTTTACTGAAAAAAAAGTTCATAGTAAAAAAATATATATATAATGAAAAGGAGCCCTGAGACTTTCTTCATTTTCAGCTGTGGAAATCTAGACTTGCCACATTTTCTAGACTTGCGTGGGCTTTCTTGGATATATTTGCTTCAGGGTCTGTACGAGAGACTACCGGTTTACTACAGTACGCACGTAGTTCCACACAAACCGACAGGTGCGTGCTCGTCTGGGCTAGAATAGTTGTGTAACCATGTCAATGCATTATCTCAATGTGACAGTGAGATATCTCATGAATACTGCAGGAATAACCTACGACTAATATTAATATGAGCTGTTCTTGCTATTTATCTACTATTCCTCGTAAATGCCAGTTTCCTCATTCAAGGGCGATTTGATTGCAAGGTCACATAAGCTGTTCTTGCTATTTATCTACTATTCCTCGTAAATGCCAGTTTCCTCATTCAAGGGCGATTTGATTAAGGTCACATCCTTCAACTTTGACACTGTGGAACGGAGCGGGCAACAGTGTGCATTATTCGAGACAAATCAATACAATCTACCGTAAATCCGTGAATAGACGAGAGGGTATCTATTTTTTCAGATATTGTGGTATGTATGTAAAACAGTATTTAATTTCTATGAATGGGGAACGTGATATTTGAGACAAAACAAGCGTGTGGTTTCAACATTCAACGACAACACTTTTCGTTTCAGTATATTATATTGGAAATTTAATACGCATTGCCTGTAATATACGTTGTATTACACTTTATCGGTTAAGTACAGATTTTAATACTTTCTTAGGTGGGGTCCTTAACGGGAATCATACCAACACTCTGAGAGTAATTAAGGAGCTATATTCGCCAGCACACCGAGTCAGTGATCTAACCCACTCGGCCCCTGGGATTCGAACCCACGCCCCAGGAGTAAGGCCCAACACTTAAAACTCTACATAAAGAATAGTCAGTGCTTCAGTAGTAAGAAGTAGCAATTTAAACTACATCCCGATTAAAAACAAAGATGGCACCCAAACTCAAAGAGTAAGCTACTTAAAGCAACCAATCCATGCATGTTCCCTGATTTCTGAACCTGGCTTAAATGTTCATTTTTATACTTGCTTTTTTGTATTTTTTATAAAATACATTATGAATAAGAAAGAGCATTATTCAGAATTGTATCCTTATGGCATTTACGGTACGAAAACACATGCAGATAATAATCACTTCATCGTAGAATGTCATGCTAATTTTTTGCTGTTGAGACAGTTACATAACATACTGAAATTAACTGCTATAGCTGAGATAGTTATATAGTTAAAGGGCATTAGTAGTATATAAGTAATCAGTTTCGGACATCAAAGCATTCCTAAGGAGAACAATAGCATTCCCAAGGAGAACAATAGCATTCCAGGGGAGAACAATAGCATTTTTTAAGGAGTACTCCTACATACCAAAGGAGTTTTCAGGAGCACATTCCATAAATTCCAGGAGCTGTCCTTTGAACCCTTAACCCTATTGTATTTAAGAAATACACTTCGCTCTACCACCATGTATTTAAGAAATACACTTCGCTCTACCACCATGTATAGTGTAATAAAACACACTTTTGCCCTGAACTATTATAGTTAAAGCACGAGGACGCGCGGTGAAGGCTTCTACTACCATATATAGTGTAATAAAAAACATATAATTTCATTTGTCTTTGCCCTGAACTATTATAGTTAAAGCACGAGGACGCTTGCGTCCGATGCTTTAACGTTATAATAGTTCAGGGCGAAAGTGTGTTTTATTACACTATACATGGTGGTAGGGCGAAGTGTATTTCTTTTCTAAGATGCCAAATTTAATACTTTCTAAAGATAATTACGATTAATTTAAGGCAGAAAACAAACGACGGTGTCGGTGACCTAAATTAAGAATCCTCGCACAGGGCTAACTGGCGCGCTGTTCTATTGATGTGTCTGCCCCCTACGTTAAGACGAACGTTACCAGAAAAAAACAAATGATAACAGTTTGATGACGGTTTACGTTCGGATTAAATATCTTCTCTGAATTATTTTAATTACATCTGTCATTAACGTAAACCATATGGGGCAATATGAACGTTGCATTGCTACTACCAGCGTAAGTTTAGATCAGTACATCCAGAGGAAGTTGAGTAGTCAAGCGACATTCCACAATTGCATTGTGGGAATGTAAACATTACGAACATACACATTGTAAATATGTTTCAGCAATCCTATTGTTCAAAACAATATGATCTTGAACAGGCTGTTACTGACTGACTGAGTTTGGTTTTACGCCGCTTTTAGCAATATTCCAGCAACATCACGGCGGGGGAAACCAGAAATGGGCTTCATACATTGTACCCATGTGGGGATTCGAACCCGGGTCTTCGGCGTGACGAGCCAACGCTTTAACCACTAGGCTACCCCACCACCCCCGAACCCCCGAATATATATATATATATATTGCTGACACCAGTGTAATTGTCTTTTCACAAGACCGCCCCCGCTCTGGATCGGGTGATCAAGTAGTAGCATAACGTTATATGGAAAGGTCTGCTACGCCATGTTTTGGCTGAATGAAGAGTCTAAGTTAATATAGCATTAGTGTATTAGCATCTGTCATCACGTCTAACCTTGATGTCATGCATACATTGCGTGTGTATGAGTGTTCATGCACTTTACATAACTACCGAGAGGTAACAACAAAGCAAGTTAAAGAAGCTTTGACCAAATAAGCAGAAAAACCTAAAGTATTTACCAATGAAACTATTCCTACAATACATCCAGGTGGTGTTGTTGAACTCGAATGTTTCGTGTGAAGAAAACACAAAACGATTACAGCTTAGATAATTTCATATTTTTGCAAAATGCTGTTCTTCGAATTCTGCTATCTACCTAAAAAGCTCACAAACAGGTTGTTGACACACGGCATCTCTTTTCAATAGTGTCAAGTCGCAGCCGAACGCCTCCGTGGTGTAGTGGTTAGAGCGTCCGCCCGGAGAGCGGAAGGTCGCGGGTTCGATCCCCGACCGCGTCATACCAAAAGACGTTAAAATATGGTACTTGTTGGTCCCTGCCTGGCGCTCGGCATTAATGGGTACAACAAGGACTGGTCGGCTCGGAGTCAGTATAATGTGTCTGAGTGGGGTATTCATGCTTCACTGCGGCATGGTATCTCAGTGGGCTAGCACTATAAAACCAGCTTAAGTCTGGGCTAGTACAAGCAGCCGCACATACACATACACGTGCATGCACGTCGTCATATGAGCGAAATATTCTCAAGCACGACGTAAAACCCAATTTCACCTCACCTCACCAAGTCGCAGCCCCCACACTAGTCAGTTGTGGCTCATGATCTATAATAACATCTCAACAATGACCACACAGTGAGCTTGTCACGTGAATACACATTCCTTTCTGTGTCAGCACTTCCCTATTTGGAAATGGTTACTACGTTTTTTTACTATCCATTGTTTTGCTTTAATGAAGGCTGAGATGGCTGAATGTATCAGTGCATGAGAACAATACACCCAACCATGACTTGGCTGACTTGTTACATCATGCATATCTTTAGCTATTAATGAGTTACATACATACTTAATAACCTCCCACAGAAAACACATGAAACTAAATTTGACCTCAGTTTAATATAAAGGTTGTAGTTGATGAAGTATCAATAAAATATTTTGTGGCACAACTATTTGAATACAATGCAATAATCAGATAATAGTGTAACGAGGTCATATGGTATACTTTCTTATTTGTCTGCAAACAAAAAGGTTTGCAAATCTTGATCGTGACATTTTTAATAGAATATGTGTACTGAAAATTCAAAGGAATTGTAAGTCATGATATAGTGTAATATAAATCGGGACATTTTCTGAATAGCGTCTACCATTAAACATTCAAAATAAAGTGGTAAAACATTGAAGACATACGTGATTTAATTGTATGTTGATATAAAAATATCACAGGTACAGGTGAACGCACACATCTCTGCCGGGCGTGTGATTCGGCTGAATGATAAGCAGTTGTGTGAAACTATACCTATCCTTAAAAGCAAAGTGAAAAAAGTGTTATCAATTCAAAACCAGGAACGGTGTTTCTGCAAACCCTATGTTGTTCAGTTGAAGGTATGTAATTGAAACTTTGTACAAATTGTTAGAATTGATTGACTTTTAAGTAATATTTCTCATCCATTGAGCATTTGATATTTCATTTCTTGCAGAGAATAGTCTTAATTTTGACCTGCTTGTATACTGCAGAATTATATTCATATCCAGACATGTACAATGAGCTAGAAAAGGTGAGCTGTATTTCATACATTCTGTTAACCCTTTACCTGCTGGAGTAGAGAAATACTCAGTTGAAATTCAATACACATTCCAATCTCAGAGAGTTATGTTTGTTGCAGAATTACGGAAATCGGAAATGACCTTGTTTTGTGGAAGCATGACCCATATCGAACACAGGCCCCCACTGCGGGTCAGAAAATCGATAAACTAGGCCCCGGTTTAGTATCAACACCCCCTACTATATAATACATAAAGGTTCATCACAGAAATACGGTGACATGACCGAAAACCGGACAATTACGCACATGTCAATGAATACATCGTATTTTAAAGGTCTCACAAGTATCAAAAGCTTTTGTCCATATCTCCGGTGTATGTAGGAGGCATATACATCGGCTTTCCGTGGGGATGCATTTGATGGTTTTTATTAAATCGCCAAAGACCGAGTTGCTGTGCCGGAAGTGTACAAAACTAGCTCGTCAGCGCTTGACTTCACTACCTCCGGCGATCTGATTGGCTAACACATTACACTGAATGAATGTGTTTCTTTAAATAATATTTGTACTCGTTTTTAAAATTATTCTTACCAAGATAAAACATCAGATAGTGACATCTTGGATGACAGACGTTTGAGTTTCCCTCTCATTTTCGCACGTGCATTTGTTGTCATTTTATTAAACAATTTGATTGCGCTGACGACCTAGTTTTGTACACTTTTGTACTCGGACCTCGTTGTATCGCGGCATTCATGGTATCGCGGCAAACGGTATTTCCGGTTTTCCGCTCGAGACACGCCTCCTAGCGGTGATTTGCATATGTAAATCGACAGCCAGACGTCAGTCGCTTGTATACTTTTTGGAAACCAGCAGGATGTATCGAATCTTCGTAAGTATTACCCTGCAGAAATATTAACATTAAACTCAGGAATCTTTTGGAATCTGTCTGACCCCCATCCATGAAATACCTGCTATAATATTTACGTGTAGTATGTGACCCTTCCCACTCGATCTGAACTAGGTCGTCTGCATATCATTGTTGCCATATAAGGTAGCGGAAATGACGTCATGGGCTATATTTATCTACCGGTGAATACCAAAAGTTGTAATCAAAATAAGGACACAAAACGGAAAATTATCCCTGTTCACTGAAAACGAGTTTGCACACTCTGACAAATTTAGAAAGGATTTTATTATACTGTTGTACACATAATTATTTATTCATATGAACATTATTTCAAATGATATTTTGCATTGAAATAGGGTTGAAATCATGCCTAAAATAAAAAATTGAACAATATTTATATAAATAAATATTAAGAAAACATGATGGAAATGATATATTTTTTATGATAATAACTTTTCTGAAATATTTGTTTTCTTTTTTTGTTCAATATTGTAACAGCGAAAAATTATAAATATAATATGAATTATAATTTTTTAAAATATATTTTTGCAGGATTTTAGCAAAACTAAAAGAAAGCTGAATTTTTCTGCCAAGGTAAGAAGACAATATGATCCCAGTAATTTGCAACATGCATTTGCTGCCACCCAGAGTGGGATGTCTGTTTATCGTGCTGCACGCCAGTATGGCGTTCCAGAATCAACTCTCCGGGACAGGACCAGGGGGAATGTTCCAGTTGGTGCGAAGCCGGGTGGAGATACCCTACTCTCACACGGAGAGGAAAAACAGTTAGTAGACCATGTTAAATACATGTCTTCCATTGGTTATGGGTATACAAAACTTAACCTCCAATACCTAGCTGCACACTTTGCTTCAAGTCAAGGAAAAAAAGCACCAAGTGACAAACCTTTAAGTGACAATTGGTTTTATGGTTTCTTGGGACGCTGGCCTGACTTGAAATTGGCAAAAACCCCAAAACTCTTAATGTTGCGTGCTCAATATGCCTCTAAGGAAGTCCTCTCTGCATACTTCAGAGAGCTGGCCACCCTCATGACGCTTCATGGTTTACATGACAAGCCTGAACGTGTCTTTAACTTGGATGAAACAGGTGTGACAACTGAACACGCACCACCCAAGATCGTATGTGATGCTACATGTCAACCACAGGCTGTAACGTCACCAAGGTCCTCGACAGTAACCATCATTGGAGGAGGTAATGCTGTAGGAAATTACACACACCCCTATTATGTATTTCCTGGAAAGAGATGGAACGACGAGTTCTTGGAAGGTGCTCCGTCAGGTTCCTCTGGTTCCATGTCAATGAGTGGCTGGTCCAACACAAATATATTTCAGGACTATCTGACCAAACACTTCATTAAGTATGCTGGTATTTCGGCAGATCCGTCAGCACCCAAGACTCTTATTCTCTTTGACGGCCATAGGTCACATGTTTCTTTGACGCTTGTGGAATGGGCAAAAATGCACAACATCATTTTATTTGTGCTGCCACCTCACACAAGCCACATCACACAACCACTGGATGTTGCTGTGTTTGGACCGTTTAAATGTATGTACAACAGAGAATGCCAGCTCTTTCTTCAACGGAATCCAGGAATGAAGATCACAAAGTATGAAGTTGCCTAGCTCACAGCTAAACCATACCTGAAAGCCCTCTCTCCAGAAAACCTAACTTCAGCATTCAGAAAGTCTGGTATCTTCCCTCTGTGCAATCATGCATATCCGGAGATGTTGGTTTCACCGGCTTCTATCTATCCTGCCGTACAAGATCAGAATCAGAATCAAGAAAATGAAATGCCGGCATCAGCTTGTCTTCCACCGTCATCTTCACAGGCATCAGCTAGTCTTCCACCGTCATCTTCACAGGTATCAGACAAGTTCTTTGAGGAGAGGAAAATCACTTCAGTGACCGCCAAACCGAAGAAGAAGAGATTTGTACCACCATATCTCGGAGGAAACCTGTTCAAAGAGAAAAATGTTAATATCATGAAATCAACAAAAACAAGCACTCAGAAGAAAGAATTTGTTCCTCCAGTAAAGAAAAACAAACCTGCAAAGCCAAACCAACAACCTCCACTTCCAGTCCACAACCCGGCCCATCGGCATACCATGTGGACGATTCAGACCAAAGCACATGTTCGGATGTATCAGATGATGACTCTGAAAATTGTTGTCTGTGTGGTAAGAACACTCCTCCAGCCATGAGGTCCCTCCCCTATCTGGTGATTGTGAAGTGGGCTCAGTGTAACAAGTGCCAGCATTGGACTCATCTGTCATTCTGCACTGACATCACTTGTGTGAGGCGTCATAGTGAATTTCTGTGTCCACATTGTGCATAAATTCTGTTAAGTGACTGTTGGACAAATTCGATTGATTTTTGATGTTTGGAAACACTAATTTTCTGTTGAATTTGACCACATTGTGTTCATAATTATGCAAACAGAAATACTGAACATTTGTGCATTCATATTTTGGTGAATTCCCTGGATAAAATTTCATAATGGATACAGTTTGGTGCACCTTGGATTACCAAAAAATATCTCAACTCATTTCACATTAAGGTGAGTTAAGCAATTTCATTTTTTCCCCCTATTTCGCCTTGCAATCCGACTTTTAGTGTTTACCGCGATACGATGGAGCTCTCTCTTTTGGTAAATATTAACCGGCTTCGCTGGTCTAATGGCTCTCGCTGAAACACTATCAAAGTTAAAATAATAATTTTTTCACAAATGTGTTGATTAAATGTCATCTTAATCGGATTTAATTTAAGAAATACACTTCGCTCTACCACCATGTATAGTGTAATAAAACACACTTTTGCCCTGAACTATTATAGTTAAAGCACGAGGACGAGGACGCTGACATGCATCGTGACGTCACTTACATTGTGACGTAATGTAAAATGGTTCGATTACGAGGGGGCACACTAGAATGGCGCAGTGACGGGATAACGTCATTCAATTGTTACGTCATCAAAAAACTATACCTTTATTGTCTAATAATGTATTTTTTTTCGATAGTTCTAACCGCTAGGCATCTTAGAAAATAAAATAGGCCTTAAAAGTTCACCATTTTATTTCCGATCACGGATATGTCAAGTACCGCGATACAACGAGGTCGCAGGCTAAGTTGGCTGTGTAATGATATCTTGCAGGGTTTTGTAAATAATTAATCTTTGCCGCAGGTACCATTTACCTTTATTTTTACTTAATTTTCACTAGTGAGTTTAACCTTTTGATGGGTAGTATATCTTAGATTGAAAAAATTGCGATCCGCTGGAGTGTAGCGCCAAAACACAACTTTGAGGCGAGATGACCAACTTTCGACCCCACTTGAACGTGGACGGTTGCGTTTGGGTGAATATTTTCAATTTCAGTAACTGACATTCCAATCTGCGTGACTCACCAGGCTAAACCTTCCATTCATATTTACATATGTTTGTACGTCTTTTCAAACCAATTGATTTAAACAATATGTTATTTCCAAAGAAGCTATATGTACAAGGTTTGAACATTGATATTACATATAAAAGGAAATAGACTGCTGCATTTCTAGGTTGGAATTCTGATGGAATATAACGTTAGAAGTGTTGCATGCTTACAAGTTACATTAACAACTAGTCTCTGAAATGAACATATTTTACTGAAAAAAGTTCATAGTAAAAAAAAATATAATGAAAAGGAGCCCTGAGAACTTTCTTCATTTTCAGAAGCTGAGGAAATCTAGACTTGCCACATTTTCTAGACTTGCGTGGGCTTTCTTGGATATATTTGCTTCAGGGTCTGTACGACAGACTAGCTTACAAGTGTTAACAAATAAGATGTACTACTTAATGAACATATTACTTATGGTGCCAAGCACTTATTGAAAGCGGTTAGAATCAGCTATGAATTTATAGACATAAGCAACATTCCACCCATTTCAAATTTAATAGCAATATCCTATTCAAATTTGCTTGCTTGGTTCCTAGTCATAACATTTCAATACACATTCCAGTCAGCATGAGTAATCTCTTTATATAAATATGTCATGGAATAGGTTCTAAGGACAGCTCCTGGAATTTATGGAATGTGCTCCTGAAAAATCCTTTGGTATGTAGGAGTACTCCTTAAAAAATGCTATTGTTCTCCCCTGGAATGCTATTGTTCTCCTTGGGAATGCTATTGTTCTCCTTGGGAATGCTTTGATGTCCGAAACTGATTACTTATATACTACTGGCATTCATTGTCAAAATATGTTTTCCTAAAGGTCCTGTTTGAATTAATATTCAACAACCCATGCTTATCGCAAGAAGAGATTAATGGGGCCAGATTGTAGCGCTTGCGGACTCGTTTCAAACATGGCATCACATCAGATCGATTCTCATAATGCTAATCACATGCTTATCCCGTCCGGGGGTGGTGCCTATAGTGGTTACAGCGTTCGCTCGTCACACAGGAGACCCGGGTTCGATTCCCCACATGGGCACAGTGTGTAAAGCCTATTTTTGGTGCCCGTGATATTGCTGAAATATTGCTAAAAGCGGTGTAAAATTCAACTCACTCACCCAACTCACTGTCTCGTTCGGGCACGCGAGTGAGTAAGGTTTTACGTATCACGTGACTCTTTATACACATTTTACTACACTAGAACTGTATTATGAAGAAAATATAATCAGACACGCTTTTGTTTCAAACTGTAAGCTACAAGCCATTGATAATTATTGATTTCCTATCGTCGGAAATTGCATTCTTAGTTTCAGTCACTCGACAGATTATGTTTGACATCTCCGACAGAATCCGTTAATTAAACTATATATCGGTCTATGCAAATACAATAACCCACGCTTTATATCAATACATATATTTACATATATTCCACTTGATAATAAATATTACCATGGAAACAATCGGACTTTTAACATGGTACGTATCCATGCAGTCTAAGCACCGACCTCGCATAGCTTACTATCACATGACCAGTGTATGTGGAATCGTCATGTGGTCAAGGGTAGCCATGCATTTATTGTTATGGATAAAATACATATGGTCATAGAATGATTAAGACGTGCTCTGCATAGAAATGATGAATTCGTGGCATCTGGCTTATGGTGTGTGTCTGTATCTTGTTAGAATATTAACCATTTATGACTTAAAAATAGCTTTTCTTTTTAATAGGGTGATACATCAAACGATATATCTCCCGAAAACATAGACTTCGGGACAGAGTTGGTAAGTGATTGGCGCTGGCCGACAATGGGATCGAAAGTACAGAAATGCCCCTAAATCTAGTCTCGAGGCTAAAAGGTCGGGTCCCTACAGACAAGACATGCCGCTATATATAGCCTATAGATGCCCAGTGGGGCCACGGAAAGTCGAAACAGGACCCTGTATCCATCGTCGATGCCTCAGTCAAGACATAACCCTACATCCATCCTAGTGCTAGCGTACAGTTAAGCCACTACCAAGTCTGTCTCACAGTCCCGGAACCACTTTATCTGTTCGTTTGTTTTGTAACACCGCATCCTGCAATATTCCAGCTATATGGCGGCGGTCTGTAGAGTTGATTTCTCGAAACAAACTTAAGTTTTTACTCAAACTTCAAACTGAGTTTGACAATTTGAAACAGCTGAATTTTTAACTGAACTGCATTTTTTAAATAAAAAAAGCCCAAACAACTTAAGTAATCTATCCACCAAACTCAAATTGTCTACTAAGTTTAAGTTTAATATTGATTTCAGTTTATTCTGGGAAATGCATTTTCCTGCGTTTTCTCAAATTTGAGTGAAAGCTTAGACTTAAGTCAAAACTCAGACTTAAGTTTGTTTCGAGAAATCGGGGCCAAGTCTGCATTCATAAACATTTTACATACAAAGACCAAATGAGTTTTATCATTTAGCAACGACAAGCATGGGTTGCTGAAGACCAGTTCTAACCCGGATCTTGTTTGCATAGAGAGCAAAGTAGGTTTCATTTCCTAGATATAGAGGCCTATAGTTAGAGTTTCTCCTGAAAAGTGTGTGGGCAGTTACTCAATAATTACAAATTCCTTATTATTTAGATAGTATTCTTGAAAATATTGTTGATCATATGAAATTAGACAAAGTGAGTTTGAGGTTATACATAATCAAATATAACCCGGATCTTCACGGGTTGAACCATATATAAATTTCGCTTCTGCCCAGCTCTTTCTGTAATGCTAAAGCCCTAAATGAAGCAGGTCTAGATTTCCTCTGGTTCAGGAATCTCCCATCTCTCTGGGGCTCCTTTTCAATATAAACTGAATTATTTATTTCTATCAAATTTATATATATTCAGAGACTAAACGTTAGTCTAGTATCCGTAGATGATGCCCGTACAGTCACAAGACTTTCTGGTCCTGACTTGATTCTTTACTCCCTTCATATAGCTGGAATCACAGAGCGTCACATCCGGCGCGGAGCCAGAATCAGTGCTGCCTGCATGCAGTCTTCAGTCGTATGGGATCCGACAGTGAACACACGAGAGAGTGAGTGAGTTATGGTTTTAAGTCACACTGGCAATATTTCAGCCATAAATTCATGATAAATACATATAATTGATAAAACCCTGAGGACAGCAAAATTTCAAGATTATCACATATTGGTCAAAACTAGATCAAAGAAAATTATAATAATACACTAACGAGTAAGGACACGAGATGAAAAATGGTAAGTGATCGCTAGCAACGGAAGTTTGGTCATCATACTAGGGACCGCAGGGACTAACAATACTTCTGCTTCCTGCACGTTCCCTAGCTGGATTTATGCCATCCCTCCAGCTGCTAGCGACTGTAAGTACTCTTAGCCATTTATCTAAAACCTACAAATATTCCACGATTAAAAACGTTGGTAGATATGAATATTCTGTGATAGAAGTGGGCTTACATTTAACATATCCTCTCAAGGTTGTTCCGATTAGTAGCCTAACGCCCTTGACAGTTAAGTGAGTGAGTGAGTGAGTGAGTGAGTTAAAATTTAAAGTCACATTGGCAATATTTCAGCCATATCGTGACTAAAACTAGTTCTAAATTCATAATGCATACATATAATATATAAAACCTTGTCAACGAAGGACAGTAAAATTACTAGATTATCACAAAATGAGTTAAAACTAGCTAGCATTTGACAGTTAAGATGTTCTTGTGTCTTTACATAATGATAGTTTATATAGTCAACGTTTTTATTATTAAATAATAATTTATGAAATTCAAAATGGTAGAACAATTATAATGCATCATGCCAAATTAGAAAATGATTGTATTTGTGATTTTTTAGTAAAGTGACCAAACACCGTCACGAAAGGTTTTCTGCCAGACCCTTTCTTTATACATGTAACCTATATCAACTCTTCCTGTGTACATGTAACCTATATCAACTCTTCCTGTGTACATGTGTGGATGGTGCAGTCAGCACGTACTCAATACGGACACATCGCTTGACAAGGCAATGTGGTGAAGGTCTTCTCTGGAACATTAACAAACACTGACTAAGGTGGACACGAGCAGTTTGTTCTGGGAAAACAAAATGGCGACCAGCTTCAAGTACAGTAAGTACAATGCGAGACAGTTTAGCTCTATTACTGCCCTGAGACCCTCGCAAGAAACGTGAATTGACGTTCAAACAGACCAGCCTACACCATTCCTAAACCAAAACCCCCATAACGAACAATCATGAGTATTGTCTGTAATTATTAGTAAACTTACCTCTGGGTTGTGATAGCCTTTTCCTCCGTCACTTGGTGATGTGTTACAGACTCCCTTAGATAACAAATAAAAATGTTAGTAACAAAGGAAGGTAATCCTTACCTAGATAACCCCACACTCCGGCACAGCGATGACTTAACATAACATCACTGACACAGGCTAATTTGCATATCACGTGACCGGACTTTTCTCTTGTTTGTAAACAAGCGCGCATATTCAGAGACTGGTCTTAGGCAAACTTTTCGGCGCGCTCTTCACGGTGTTTTACATTGTTACATATATATCCTTCCACAACTGCGACAGTTAGGTTTATGACAGTACATATTTAGATATCAAACTGGTTGCATCGTTTGCTCTCTGTTCGATGACAGCACGTGGAGCCGTAGAACTTATGTAAACAAAGGAACGCTACGCAAATCGAAATAGTGTTACATGTTTTAGGATATTTTCTCAGTGAAACTAAACCATTCTAACAAAGACGTTTAATTAGATGTGTAGACTCGTCAAAAATAAATGAGTTAAGAAATGCTGGCTTGCCGCATGGAACTCTGGGTAGGAGAGTGAGATAACCCTTGCTCCCTTCGGATTACTTCCCTTGACTGTTCTCCTGTCAGTGAATCTCTACCCATGTCATATTTTCCGAGAATAGTTGAACCTGTGAACATACAGTGGGGAGGTTAGAAATGTCATTTCGGGTGGTCGTACCGTGTACAACCCAGAGGTAAGTTTACTAATAATTACAGACAATACTCATGATTGTTCGTAATTATAGGCCTAAACATTCCCTCTGGTGGATTCGTAGACGGATTGAGCGGTGAATTCGTAGACGTTATTAATAATGGGAAAAGTTCATCCTCAATGATGAAGAAAATCGACGAAAAGTGTTTGCATTTTGTGAAATAAATAAAATATAGCAGGTAAGTATGATCGGCGGTGAAAATATCCTTAAATAATAAAATAACAAAATATGCTTCACAGTGGTCCATGTCCGACAAATTCCGACAAATCATAGGCCGCTAATATATTAAATTCAGTTGTGTAAAATTAAAAGATATGTATTAGGTAAGTATCGTCATTCAACGTTTAACTACGCAGACCAGCAGAGAAGTAGCAGAAAACACTTATTAAGAAAACAGTCTTAAGTAAAAACAAACTTAATATATACCAATTATTTACACGTCTACGAAATACTGTCTAAACCGGTCTGGGTTACGAATTCACCGATATTTCTCCCGTTCATAGTAGGGACCTATTTTTTTTAAGGGTCTATTTTTTTGTAACCACTGAGAAGTAAAGCAATGATGTCTCTTTTACAAAAATGTATGTGCTTTAGCCTACAGAGGTCCCCCAAGCGGAACCGCTGACGTCACCCATTTTCGCATTTTTAAAAACAATTTTGGCCACTCAACTGCTCCAAGGAAATATAAGTTTTCATGGAAAAAACTGTTCCAGTCTGTTGAGTAGATGTTGTTGCATATTTCCCCAAAGTTTCCTTTGAAAATATTCATAATTTTTTTATCTACTGGTATGTGTTTGCATGGAAATATCGTTGTGAGACAAAAACAGAGACAATATCAAGTCAAAAAATCATGTTTATTATCATATTATATTTTCTTCTAAGCAATTATGCATATAGTATCACTGAATGTTGTCACTTTTAGTTCAGAATAAAATTTCTTCATCCTATTCATGTGTATTTACATGCATTCAAGAACCAAAGTAAAATTTTTATCATGTTGCTTTTACTAAGGTTTTCGGCCAAAACTACTTCTCAAAATTCCTCTTTACCATTGTGTAAACTTCAAAATGAAATTATATTAATAAAAATACTCATTTGATTCTTGAAAATTATTTTTAAAGATAATAAAAATCTGAGCAAATATTTAAAATATTCAAAAACATAATGATTGCTTGTTGTATATTCAAGTCGCAGTTCTGTCTTGAATCCAGTAAATAGTTCATATAATTGTTGAAAGTTGTCCATAATCCAAATATATTACATGATTTGACACTTCTGTTCAGAGTATACTTGAAATGAAGCCTCACACAAAGAGGATCATACACATAAAAACGTTCTTTTCAGTCACTTCATTGTCTAACTATCTTTCAGTTTCAGCACTGGTCCTGGATGTTTCCAATCTGTTTCAGAAATACGTGAAGAAAATACTTGAGTGTACAATAAAACATATAGACAAGACAGTTGCCATCACATCAGCACCGCTAAGACCAAATACATACACATGACATCAGCTTAGAATCATTGTGAAAATGATATGGACAAATACGTTTCAGAGTTTGAAACAGCTCAAATGAATTTTATCTTGATGCATTGTGTCATTTGCACTGTTCTTCAAACCCATGTGTTTCCAGTATCTAGCTACACTTTGTAATACATGTTATCATAAACAGTCATAGCAATTCTTTGTAAAAATATTTTACTATGTCGTAGGTACCATGATTTTACAATCCACTACGACTCCACGTGGAGAGGAGTCGTATTACATACTTTCAACAGTTGCCACATTCGTCATGTGTTGCATATTATATGTAATAAATTGAGAGAGAGAGGAGAGAGAGAGAGAGAGAGAGAAAGACACCGATTCTAAAAAATTCTTCATTTTCTCTACTAGATATATGCATTTTACGACACCATAATGGAGCTTTTAAATGTATCTTTTTATGATTGTGAATTGTGGTGGTCCGATTAATTGAAATAATCAAAGATTGGTTGCAATGACTAAACGACCAAGCAATTGATCATGTTTTCTCATAAGCGAACACAAACAATTCTGGAACACTTGTTTGCATTAACAATATTTTTCACAAGGTTGGTTTCGTCTGTTACATTTCATAAGCACTACAAGTTCGTTCCTCATCATGATTGAACTCTGTGCAATGTACAAAATAAACCCAAAGAACTACATGTTTTTTTCTAGATTTTTTGTGCATTAAAACATTAAAGCACACAGTCAGGAAGATTTGATAAATGACGAAAACCAATTATTTTCGATGATTGATCGGTTGTAATGAATCAATCATCAATTATGAGATTTAAACCAATTCCCAACATTAATTGTGAATAGGTTATTGACATGTTATCATAGACAGTCATAACAAGTTTTCATATTTATCTTCCACAGTATTTTCTTGGAGATGAGGCATTCTTCAACCCTTGTAGCAGGAATCTCTAAAACACAACGATTTCAATACAATATATAACATATGTATGTAATATAATACAATAATATATGTGCATTCTTAGCAGCCAAACACTTGACAGTTCAGAAAAACCTAAAGCACATAAGAGAAGATTAACTCTTAAAAGATTCAATTGTCATCTGACATTAAACATACATGCCCCCACCCCATTACCCTACAATAAATGGCTATCACTTAATTTTTGTTCAGTTTTTGTTTGTATATAAAAATGAAATTTTCATACATGCAGTAACCATTTATTAAAAACACTTTCATTAATTTTTTTGTAGATAAATCTGGGTTTAAATACTAAACCTCTATGCAATACATAACATTTCACAATTTATTAATGATCCTTCCATCATCATGATCATACATTCAATCTGGTTTTCAATAAATATAAAAGTCAGCTTTAAGTGAACACAGTAAAAACACATTATTATACACACAAGTGTTACCACTATTTCAACACACTAAAATGAACATGTAATGAGCCTTGTCTTTGCTAAGACACGGGGATTGTTTACATGCATATAGTTTGAAAAAAATCATACTCAGGTTACCATGGTTACTAAATTGCAATTTGTAAACACAAAAAGAGTGACAACTTCCTGTTCTTGCTCAAATACGATTACCACAACAATAAAAATGTTCTATGATCAGGAGAATCCAGGAAACGTGATAAACAAAGACGTTATTTATAAAAACTTTCGCTGTGAAAAAATAGCTGAATATCTGCGTCGACTTTACCTGCTTCATGTCAAGGGCAGATAACTCTAAATGACCAAGGTACGCGATTCGCGGCAATGACACAAAAAAGTTTAAGGTCTCATTTCAGTAAGTTATATACTTCCTAAAAATACCAAACTTTTTGTGCGTGTAAATTAATGATTATATTAAGCGTATGTGCCCATACTTCAAGAAAATAAATATTTTTACAATATTTGGCATACGTTTAAAAAAGAGCAAAGTTCAACTTACCGTCGTTTCTTCATCTTTCGTGGTCAGATGCTAGTTTTGCGAAATACGCGCACTTGAACATGTGTACGACGCGACACCATAAAAAAAAATCGCATACATTTGGTCAATCGCATACTTGGGCCTTAAACGTCGGCCTGTCCGTGACCAAAAATCGTCCGCAATTCGTAACGACCTGTCCCCTAGCGGCGGCTGCGGTCGCTACTCACTAACAGACTGTATTGGGCTGCCGATTTTGCTGGGATCCTGCATGAGAAGACGACCAGGACCTCCTGTTCCGGGTCGATCGTGTTACGTTTGCGGACATCCGTTCCATCAGTATGCTCTTGACTCAACATATTGACCGCACATGTACGATACGTCGTCTCCATTACAGGCACACATATCAGCCTCCAGCAGTCATATACACACCATCATTTGGAATGTAGTCAGAGTGCGTTACTGGAACAGTAACCTCCATGTACATGTTAGAATTGGTCTTCAGCAACCCATGTATGTTGCAAAAAGAGACTCATGTTATCAGGTAAAACCTAAAGCTAACCAGCTTCAGTGGCAGAGAGTTTAGTGATGTCCATGATTAGTTCATGTTAAAGGTATTCGTGATGGTATGTTTCATCAACGCACCCAATGATGTCATCAAATGTACTGACTGAGTTTAGTTTTACATCGCTTTTATCAATATTCCAGTGGGGGACACCAGAAATGGGCTTCACACATCGTACCCATGTGGGGAATCGAACCGGGGCCTTCAGCGTGAGAAGCAAATGCTTTAATCACTAGGCTACCCGCTGCACCCACCAAATGGAGGATAAATATAGTAAACTGGATTTAGTATAATGACCTCAGAGTTATGTATTCTAGAATGGGTTAAATGTGTTCCATTTACCCTCCACTTCCCACCATCTCTTGACTACAGATAATACGTGAAATAGTATCTTTTCTGGACTGTTACAAGCA